AAAGGCACTGGATTTATCCATCACCAGCATTCACAATCTGAGGCTGGTAAAAAACTTAACCCTCCAAAAAAGCCATCTGTGGCCACCTGCGCTTTTATTTGGGAGTTTCTACGGTACTTCATGCCATTTCACCTGGAGTCTTTCTAAAACGTCAATCAGGAAACCGAGCCACCTGAGTAACCATTGGAGTTTCTTTCTACACCTACCCTGAATTTCCCACTTGGGATTTATGACTGCCAATAGCTCTTACCCTTGAGCGCCTTATAACAGTCTGCTGAGCACTGACTAGCAGCCTGAAACTTTCCAAAAGAGGGAGAAAAAAGCCTTTCTTCGATAAGGAGATTGTATCAGATATAAAGACAGACTTCTTGGTGATTCATGTACTTGACTATGCCTAACCACCTTCATCTACTCAACTCCTGACCTTCTCTTGATTGATTTACAATCAATAAATCCTTGAGATCAGATGAATGAGAGGTTCCTTCCCTCTGGTAAGTTTAATTTTGACTTGGGAACTGTATCATAGACATTCAGAGCTAGCTAGTGTCCTTTGTAGAGCAACGAAAGAAATTTCCCATTTGTTTACGGTCAGCAACAATAGATGTGACTTCTAGTATAAGAGAGGGGGAAAGCTGTCAAGTCTGGACTGTCCTTTCTTTCTCTTAGAAATGCTAATCATATTAAATACGTATATGGAGGATATTCCAACGACTTCCATCCTGTCCCATCTTGCTAATTTCCTTTTCCCTGTTAGTGACTTTTTGAGGGCACTGTTTGATGCCTTTTCCATTATTGGAAACAATTGCGGAAGTGATGGTTAGGAGGATCAGAGAGCAAGCAACTTGGGCTTGTAACATTTAACTTGCAGTTTGCTGAGTGTGTAACTCAATATCCCTGTGCTGTTTGTTTTTTTCTTCCTCTCCCATCTATAAACTACTCACCTTTCAGAAAGGACTAATGGACATGAGACATAAAATGTGTGCCATGTTAGCATTTTTTTAAAGGGGTCCCCTGGAAATGGTGGGTATTTTTGTATTTAAGAAACCAAATATGCTGGTGCTAAAGAAAAAATATATGAGACACATAATAAGTCATGCCTGCCCTTTAAGAGACATTTTAAATTAGCATGGCATAGGCTATACCTTGTGCATAAACACTGCAATCAATATGCATATCTATTCTGTATGTGATAATAACAACAAAAGCTAACATTTATAAAGCACTTACTCTGTACCAGACACTGTGCTAAGCACATAACGATTATCATCTCATTTGATCCTGGGGATTAATTGAAGTGTTTGCTCTGTCTGTGCCCAGGTACTGGGGATATAAAGATAAAATAGAAACCACTTCTGCCCTAAAGGAGCTTGTTTACTTACATTTACTGGGTCAGACAACCTGTACAAATGTACTTATATATGAAATAGATACAAGGCAATTTGGGACATGAGGAAAGGCCTCATGGAGGAGGTGACATTTAAGGTGAACTCTGAGGGAAACTGGAGAGTCTGGAAGGTTAAGGAGAGAAGAGAATCCATTCCAGACATGAGGTTAGGATTAGGGTTAGGACAGTCTATGCAAAAGTGCAGGAGTGGACAGAAAGGTGGTATGACAGCAGGAAGGGCAACATGACTGTGTGAGAGAATGCACAGAGGGGAGTGTGATCCAATGCACAAATAAATATTACTGACCCTTAAACTGATCACATCAGCTACCATATATAGACAGACTCTTGACACGGCTCATGAGCTTATCAGTTTACCTATGGAAAATACCATATCTATGTCCCAATAGCAAATTTAGAAACCTGGTAAATAGTTGGAAGGCATTTCAGCGTGATGACTGGTTTGTGGTCCCAACTAAGCTACTTACTCCCTTGTGACCTAGCTGGGCAAGTCAGAAACAAAGGGTTTCAGAGTTGGAAGAGACCTATTCCAACCTATATCTGAGAAAGGATCTCTCTGGGTCATATTGGAAGAGTGGTCATACAGCCTTTGCTGATGACCTCCAGTGAGGGAGGGGGAACCAACTACTGTACCTCCTGAGGCAAACATTCCACTCACCTCCCTGGGCCTCGGTTTGCTCATCTGTGAAATGACATCCTAGAATTAGCACTAGAAAGGACCTTAAAGGTTACCTAGTCCAACCTCCACCATCCCCACAGCCCTTTTTATGATCAGGCAACTGAAGCCTGGAGAGGCTAAGTTATCAAGGGACACATGGGGAATAAGGGGCAGAACCAGGATTTGAAACTGAATAGGGTCAGATTCCTACCATGTTCTGGTGCCAGAGGCTCCACTTTTAACCTGGAACACCAAGCCCCCACCCTGGGACCCTGATCATTCACCACATGGAGCCTGGACTCAGCACATCCTACTGGCCAGCATCTAAATGTCATGCTGCCACACTATCTTCCCCACCCAGTTCAGTCAAATCAACAAGTATTTATTAGGCTTTATTAAGCACCTGTTCTATGCCAGGCATTGTGCTAAATCCTAGCAAAAAAAATCTCCTGCCGTCAAGGAGATTACATTCTAAGGAGGGCTGAAAAGTAGGACTGGAGATGGAGAAATCTGGAGAGTCAAGAGCAGAGCCAGGAGAACAGTGAACAAGCAAGCCCAGAGCTAGCCTTAAAATGAAGCTGTGGGAAGAGCTCACCAAGCAGAGGACGGGCCCCGAGCAGAGAAATCATCCAGGCTGAGAAGGCCACAAAAGCAATGGCACCTGCTGGGATGAGAACGCCCACCCCCACCCCCACAACAACACACTTTGCCTTCACTCCTCCTAGGTCAGGCCACCAGTCCTCCAAGGTGTCTTCCTCATTGGAATACATAAGGGCCTTGAGGGCATGGGCTGTCCGCTTGCTGGTGTCTGTACCCTTCCCTTTCCCACCGCCCCCACTCCCCAAATAAGTGCTTGCATGGCACGATGCCCCGTAGAGGGCTTTCCATTCTGTTCCTGCCTCGCGTTTAAAAAATGAAAGCGAAGTGCGGCTCAGTGATTACAGTGTAGGTATTGTTGTTTTTCTCACCACTTCTTTCCCTGTGCTAGACATTAGCTATCATTATTTGCAGCAGCTGTGGTTTAAATATAAAAGGAGAAATGGAAGTCGGTGAGGCCGGCTTGGGACAACAGCTGAGTGGGGCTTGGCAAAGCCAGAAGCTTTCTCAGACGCGGGGATGCGTTCGGGCTTGCTGGTTTCGGTCTCTGGAGGATTTGTCGGTGTGTATGCCCGGCAGCTTTTTATGATTGGAAGTTTAGCTTAGTAAGACTTGCCGCTTGTCACGTGGCTCATTTAGAAACAAGGTGCTAATTAAAGCCAGCCTTTCTGAAGCCGGGTGTCATCCCCCTACTACCCACCCCACTCCTGTTTGTGTGATGATGGGGAAGATGATGTAGTCTTTCTCTACAGAGAGTCATCTAATTCCAGTTTCTTGATAAAGAAACTTGTTAAAGGCTTGCTATCGTCTTAATTCTTAATTCTCTTCTTAAAGGAGCATATTAAAATGATTACTTCAATGGTTAATTTTTTTTTACACTCACAGAACCACAGAATTTCTGAATTGCATGTGACTTCAGCAGCCAGAACCCACCCACCCACCCCCACTTAAACAATCTGATGCTTCCTTATTCACATATGTGCCATTGACCCTATGAATATTCATCCTTAAAATGAAAAATATAGAGAGAGGGAATTAAAAAGAATAATCCCTCATGGGGTTTCTATACAAAATGACATGTGTAGGCCATTTTTGCAAAATCTGACAGCTTCATTTTATCATTCTCAGAATTAAAAATCAAGAAATAATGGCTATAAAAACTTTGAAGTTTTCAATAAAACTTCAGCAAATTAGCTATGATCAGCATTTTTTAAAGCTTTCAATAAAACTTTAAAAAAATACTGATTGTACCTAAGGTACTGGGATAAAAATACAAACGACCGTTTCCCCTCCCCACCCCCCAAAAGGATAGTCAAAACTGAGCTTTCTGAAATTTTTCATCTAAAATAGTTGATTTGACAGATGACATACAATGAGCAAGCATGCTTTCAAAGGACCTGTTACGAAGCTCTTTCCATTCCTCTCAGTGGAGAGTTTGGGGACCACAGATCATCTGCCATCTTTGACTTAGCCATCTGAGGATTGGGGTGCGGTGGGCAAAAGTGGGGGAAGTGAGAGTATTGGGAACTGACAAGTTTGAAAAATGAAAAACCCCAATATAACAAAAAGATGGATTTTGAATAGTGTCACATTTAAAAAAAAAAAACCCTACAAATGCCAAATGACTGAAGGTTATTTGTTTGTTTGTTTTAAATCCTTGGTTATGGTGCTACCTGCAGAGACGTTCCAGAACAAGGCCTGAGTTTTCCCATCTGTGGAATGATGTTTTGTTCCCCTTCTAAAATGGAGGGATATGCTTGGATTATGTGGTATTTTCCAAGGACAAAGGGAAAAGGGTTATAAAATTGTGCATTGGGAGTGTTCTGAGGCCCTAGGAAGAAATGTTTTTGAAAGACGAAGTTCCTTTCTAGAGAAAATTATACTAAAAATTCTAACGAGTTGGCTGCCATTGTCATCCCAAAAAGAAATGCCATCTTGCTGGGTGATCTGTGTTGGGGAAAGGTCAGTATTATGGTAACTCAGACTCAATCACCTTGAAAGCAGACTCATCTCAAGAAAGGAAAATCACGTTACTTCATGACCAAGCAGAGGTTTTTGTGACAAAGGGAACTTGATTAACATCAAAAAGTCAAGGGGGAACACAGTGGTCTTTGTTCACACCTGTAACAACTGAGTGTATCAGCTGTCATGCTGTTACTTACCTTCATTGTCTCAGGAAAAAAAGGGAAACAGATGGTCGTTTTATAGGGCTGAGATTGTATTGTTTTTGGTTGGGAATGCCGTTCCGCCTTGGGAGCTGGGGGAGAGGTTTTCCACGTTTAGCAACCACAACTTGGAAAAGGATCTCACCCTACTTCCTCTTTCCCCCTCCAATCCCAGGAGACCAGGCAGGGTGGAATTGTCCATGACCCAGATGTTTTCATGCTGGCTGATGTTGCTGCCCGTACCTCCCAGACAGGCAACAGGAGCAGATGACGTGAGGGTATGCACCTGTGGGAGGCTGGAAGCATTGATCGGGCAGGAAAGGAAGGGAGGGCAGAGGATGGAATGGGGAGGGGCCCCAAAACAGAGGAGGGAGGAACTCGCCCAGCCTAGAGGCTGCCAGCCTCCAGGAGCACTTGACTCCCGCGACGGGGAGTCAAGACCCTTGGCTGATTCCCATCTTCTCTTGGCTTTTCTTCTAACAAGGGTCATACAGCCATAAGACAGGAAGAATCTTCTCACTGTTGAATCGAGACCTCAGAGACAGAAGTTTCTTCCAGAACAAAACCATGTGCTACATTTGGTTACCATTGTTATAGTGGCAGGTAGTATAAGGATAGAACGTTGGCCTAGGAGTCAGGAAAATCTAGGTCAGGGTGGGGAACCTGTGGGCCTCCGGTTACCCACCCCTGATCTAGGTTGCATCCCATCTCTAATACTTACCATCTGAGTGAACAAAGTCACACAAAGCCCACAAAGATTGTGTGAACTCTGGAAGCAGTACAGAGAGTTCCCACACTGGTAATTCCCTTACCTGATAAAAACATAAATCTTCTAGGTATTGAAACTTTTAAAAAATTCATTAAACTTTAATATATTTATTCCAAGCTCATAGTCGTTTCAGCAATTTGAAGCATTTAGCACATTTACTAGGACCAGGTCAATAAAACATTTAAATGGAAATGGAAACAAGGATTTGGATATTGGTTTTTTTTCTAGTCCACTAGGGGGCGCTGGACCTCGAGGCAGGAACATCTGCGTTCCAATGCATCTTAGATACTTACTGGCTGGCTGTGCCACAATAGGCTAGTCATTTAACCACTGTCTGCCTCAGTTTCCTCATCTGTAAAATGGGGATAATAATAGCATCTACCTGTCAGGGTTGGGATAAGGGTAAAATGAGATAATATTTGTAAGTTGCTTTTCAAAACCTTTGCTAGCTATTATTATTAAAATTATTGTTTATCTTTTATTGATCATTTTGTTTTGTTTATGTTTTTTGTTTTCTTTATGGCCATTTTAAATGTATCACTGTCTCCTCCCCTATCCAAGAAGTCATCCTTTATAACAAAGATTAAGAGAAAGAGAAAAAAAAAGCAGTTCATCGACAAAATGAAAGAGATGAAATAAATAATCCAGAAGGCCCCTTAAAGTTCTAAAAGGGGGCAGCTAGGTGGCACAGAGGATAGAGCACTGGCCTGAAAATCTGGCCTCAGACACATAACATTTATTAGCTGTGTAACTCTGGGTAAGTCACTTAACCCCAATTGCCTTGCCAAGAAAAAAAATAAAGCTCTAAAAGTATATAATTCTATGCCTTAAATGAGTCAATTATATATAAATTATTTTATATATCTCCATATATAATAAATTAATAAACATAAATTATATAATTCTGTGCCTTCAGTCAATCATCAATTATATATTTGTATATAAATTAATTTTTCTATTTGTATATATAAATTATATATAGATAAACATATGCTACATGTAAATTTATCTATATATTATGTAAATTTGTGCCCTTAATCAATCAACAAATATATTTATATATAAATTGTTTTTATATGTTTGTATATAGGAATTATATGCATATTTTATTAAAAATATACATTCTATAATTCTGTGCCTTTATACTCAATCAACAACGTGAGCCAGCCTCTGCCAAGCACTGGGGGATCCAAAAAGAGGGGATGCAAAAAAAGGTCTCCTACCTCAGGGAGCTCATATTTTAACGGGGTAGACAATAGGCAAAAAACAAATTGTCCATATATACGGCATAAATGGAAGGTGATTTCAGGGGGAAGGCACTAGCAGCATCTGTGGACTCCCGAGTTCCTCAGTTTCTCTAGTAAAAGAGTAGCCAGAACAACAAACAGCCCATGGACAAGATGCTGTTGTCCTATCTAAAAGGTGACTCCTTGCAGGGTTCTTGAGTGTTCTCCTCAGAATGATGACAGATTGCTGAAATCGATATTAAAGAAGTACCTGAGTAGTCCTTGACCATCATCAGTGAAGTAAATGAGATTCAAGTAGCAACCAAGATTCCAGAGAAATGAACTGGGGAGGAAGTAGGGGGTAGTCAGCACTCTTCAAAGCCTTTGTAGGAAAGCTTTGAGTAAGACTAGCAGATGAGAGAAAGTAACACTCAGCTAATTCTGAAGAATAAATCAACTATGTCTACCTAAGAAGGGAATGCCTTGACAATTATTTGGGCATAGACTAACTTACCGTGCAAACAGGGGAAGAAGGGAGCCCCATTTCAGGGGAGATCTGTTTATTTTATAAATGACAAAGAGCTCGGGGCTTGGAAATTGAATATCCTTTCAAGAGAGCAACAATAATAGCAGGGACTGATCCAGGAGGCCTCCCAAGGCTTCCCCCCAATCTTCATTATTGGTTGCTTTCTTGGAGTTTTGAACATTACCTGTCAACAGCTCCTCCACTTTGACTGGATGGTGTTTGCCAACTGGCTTTTATCCAGGAACTGAATTCTGACAGAAATTTGGAGAGCTTTTCAAAGTTTGATACAAACGAGAGACCTGAGTGTCATCCATAGTTGGATAGTAGCAGCCAATGAATTCTCATGTTTTCATCTGTAAATTGAATGAAAGAATCCTGAAAACAAAACAAACAAACAAACAAACAAACAAAAATAGCCCTATAAGAAAAGAGTCAAGAATGGGGTGGAGATGGGGTGTGAAGTAGGGGAAAAGAGAAGTTTTTTGTTCTATCTCTCTTTCAGAAAATCTTTGTATGCGTATGTCAGAATTGATGAAGAGATTGAAAAAAGACCAAAACCTCATCACATAGGTTGCCTTGTATGAAATCGTATGGGGCAGTGAGGTGGCACAGTGAATACAGTGCCCAAAATGGAGTCAGTAAGATCTGAGTTCAAATGTGACCTCAGACATTTACTAGCTTTGTGACCCTGGGCAAACCACTTAAGCCTGATTGCCTCAGTTTCCTCATCTGTAAAATGAGCTGGAGAAGGAAATGGCAAACCATTCCAATATCTTTGCCAAGAAAACCCCAAAATGGATCAAGACGAGTCAGACACGACTGAAACTATTTAACAAATTGAATAGTGTAATTGTGTTACAGTCTACTCTGTTTCATTTCTGGAATTGTTTGTGTGTTGAATGCCCCCTTCCCAATGCCTTTGCTGGTACTTTCAGAGTGATAAGGACTTGTAATGAGAGCAGGAGTGTGCTGGAGCTGCTCATGCAAGTAAATTATCAGTGACAGCATTTACACCTCAGAAATTGGCACTATCCTACAAACCAGGTAGGGCTTAATTTGGTGTTTTGTTGATTGTCTGCACTTAAGAAATTGTTAATAATGGTGATTAAACATAAAAGTATGTGCATATGTCCCCTTTTCTGCCTGATTGTTAAACATTTATTACTACACTCTCTATGAAAGGATGTTTTGTCTGTGCTATAAAAATGAGTACAGCTATAGGAAGGAAGTGAGAGAGATAGAGCAGAGACAAAGACAGAGACACAGAGATTGAGACTTGGAGGGCTGGGAATGTCTGTGCTATAAATCTAAATATCTTAAAAGTTATCATCCACTGAAATAACTCCTGATGGTAGGCACAAAGAGTAATGAGACTTGGAAGAAGTATTTTCTGTGGTTTGGGGGTTTGTTTTTTAAAAAGACACTAACATATTTAAATTTTTTGTTGTTTTTCTTCAAGCTTACATTTTTTATAATTATTGTCTCTTGTGTTCTTGGTTCCGCTTGTTTCATTTTGTATCAGTTCATATAAGTCTTCCATGCTTCTCTGAATTCTTCATATTCATCATTTCTGATAGTGCAGTAATATTCCCTTACATTTACATAGCATAATTTGTTTAGCCATCCCTAATTGCTGGGCATCTACTTTGTTGCCAGTTTTTTTTTTTGTTTGTTTTTTGTTTGTTTATTTTTGCTACCACAAACCATGTTGTTTTGAATATATTGGTCTATATGGTTGATCTCCTCGGGGGGTATAGGCTTTGCAATGACTCTAATGTATTTTTTTTGGAAGTTTGAGCAAAATCCAGAGTAAAAAGAAGAAAAACATTTGCCTGCTAAACAGATGTTTTCACAATGTTTATTTGTTATTCTGTCATTTGAAAACTGTAAGGAGTTCTGAAAATCAGGTTTGGCAGAGCCGAAGTTTTAGATGCAGACAAAGAAATTAGAAGAATAATTGTTCCTTCTGTATCAATAAAAAAGTACAAGGTGTTCCAAAGATCACAATTGCACTAAGACTTTTAAGACACACTGTATTTGGCTCTTTACATTTGAATGCTACTATTTATAAAGAAATCTGACTGTAGAAAAATTTGTACTTATAAAATGAACAAAATAGGAAGTAATTCTTTTTGTTACAAAAGTACTTTACAAAAAAAATTCCCTGGAAGGCTCCTTTCAGTAATAAACTCCTTATTAGGTTTCAGATCTTTTCATTTTACTCCTATAATTATTCCAGAATACATTTACAGTAGAATCCAATTTATAAAAATTGGATTTACATACAGCCTTTTAAGAGCACACCAATCTATGCCTAAGTAGCATGTGATTAACAAACAAAATTGTTGTTGGAACAAACTATATTAGGGTGTTGTAGATAGGACTTCCAGAATTAAAAGGCATGTTCAAGAGCCAATGAAGAAGGGAAAGCTTTTGTTACATGTCATTTTTCAACTAACACTTTCTTGGGGTTTTTCCCCCTTTAAATACACTAACAACATCAAATAGAAAATTCAGGCCAGGTCTCTGATCAATGGGTCACGTTGCCACCTGAAAATCCCATCTTTTCATTTTCTTTTCTAAGGAGTCAGAAGAATGAAGGGGGTTGCATTTCCTAGAGCTTCTTCCTATGCTGAGTGGACTCTGAAGCAAAGTGAGTAATTTTCAGTAAATAGTGAAAATCCTTTACCCAACATACTGTTTTTCAGGTACAGAAGCATAAAGTCTCCAAAATGAAAAATACATAGCTTCCGGGGAAATTTTGAAGCCCTTAATCATGCTCTGGGTCTCCCAGACAATGGCTGTAAATAGCATGTATACAGTAGGAATGTATTCACAGTGGAAAATCGGTGCCCCTAAATGAAAGTTGATTCTTATCTCTTGGCATTTCTCATTGACTAAAGTTATGATTGTTCTCATTGAACCTACTTGCTAGTCAGTTTCCTTTTTGGTTTATCAGCCGCCCCCAAGTGGGTGTTTGTCCTCAAGATTACAGCCATTTAGGTCCAGCTGAAGTCTTGGTGTGTTGCTTCAATAAGCCCAATACAGTGAGTTGTTTCACACTTAAGCTAAATAACACTAATGCTGACCTTGCCTGTGTCTAGTAAGATTCTTTGCCAAGCCTTGGGGAGCTGCCAGCCTGGTGTCTCTAATAGCTACCAGCAAGACTCCCATATAGGAACCAGGCTATTGGATATTTGCTCTGATTTCCTGGTGGGCTGAAACCTTGTGGAGAGCCAAACATGCTCTCCCACACACTACTCCCCTGATTTCAGAAGGTTAGGAGGTGGATATTTTGGCATCTGGTCTAACAGCAGTTGCTTCCTTTTTCTCTCTGGGGGGCAGCCTGACGATGGACAAGAGACAGGATCCTTTGGTCATGACTGTCCATCTCCTGGCCAACTTTGGATATGCCCTGCCTTTGCAGCAAACCCTTGACCGCCTCTTGGAGTGGATTTGCCCAGAAGTCCATCTATTTCTGGTGTCAGAGAGAGTGACTCCAGTGAAATACTATGAAAGAAACCATTCCAAGCGGTCTGGGTTCCCAGGGATTTCTGTTTTGCTCTTCTTGCATGAAGACTGTGGGGAAGAGCGGTTCTTTCACATCTATGACTCCTTCCAACAGCCACCGTGGCAGTCTCATCCCACACAGAATGAGGGTGGAAAGCTGTGCCCATACACACTTACCAAGCAGGATTTCTACAGCCTAGATCCACACATGCCCGTGTGGGGGGTGAGACAGGCACGCTATGGCAGTGAGATCCTTCAGGTGACCTTATATTGTAGCTTTGATAACTATGAAGATGCAGTCAGACTTTATGAAATGATCTTACAGAAGGAAGCCGTCACCCAGAAGAACAACTTTTCCTTCTTTGTACTGTATTCAAAGAAAAACTTTTCAATCCAGCTCTCTTTGAAGCAACTTCCCCTAGGAATGTCTGTGGAACTCAAAGAGTCTTCCGTGCTACAGTTCAAAGTTCAAGAAATCGGCCAGTTAGTACCACTTCTGCCAAATCCCTGCATTCCTATCAGCAGCACCAGGTGGCAAACTCAGGATTATGATGGGAACAAAATTCTCCTACAGGTATGTTCTTAGGGTTTTTTTCCCCCTCTAGACATAAACACATGATCATATGGGAGAAAAACAATTATCTTTCTCTTGTATTAATAACTAATTATTGAATCAGAAACAAGGTTTTTCTCCTTTTCTTCTTCCTCATCCAGAAATCAACCAGTGTGGGAAATCTTTCTCAAAGATTTACCCAGGCCAAGATTTAGTCAGATAGTAAAAGAAATTCGAAGTTTGGGCTAATAGGAGGTTTCCTGCTCATTGTGTTTACTCAGGTCTGGGAAAATGTTGATTTTCCCTTTTGTCAGACAGGTGACATGGAAATTGATAAGTCTCTTTGATCAAGATTTTGATGATCCAGTCATATATACCAAGACCCTCACTGTAATATAAGACAGCCTCTCATTATAATATTCTTTCTCTCATCAATTAACCAATCAGAGTTGATTGCTACCATCAGGAACACCTACTCTTCAAGAGCATATAAATTGTAAACCCACTGCCATGAGGGGTATTTGGTCTAAGAGAGATGGCCAAATGACCATCTTTTTTATTAATAAACATACTTGCCTTATTAATAAGATCACTAAATCACCCAGAAACTACGTCTCTCGAACTTTAAAAATGCCACATACAAAATCATAGATCCAGTGATGCTGGCCTCCCGGCTATTCCACAAAGAAGACATTCCATTTCTTGGCTCTGGACATTATCTCTGGTTGTCCCTCCCCATACCTGGAATGCTCTCCCTCTTTCACTCTGTCTACTGAACCTCCCTGGCTTCCTTTAAGTCTCAACTAAAGTCCTACCTCCTACAGGAAGCCTTCCCCAATTCCAGTGCCTGCTCTCTGTCAATTATTTCCCATTTATCCTGTACATAGCTTGCTTTGTATATATTTGTTTGCACGTTGTCTCTCTCATTAGATTGTAATCTCCTTGAGGGCAGGGACTTTTACCTCTTGTACTAGCACACAGCAGGAGCTTAAAGCCTTTGGAAATGCAAGGTGTGTGGAGATAGAAAGCCAGTTGGGGGAAATTAGCAGACAACTTGGGGTTTATGGTAAAGAGCATAAAAGGAACATCTTAAATGAAGATGGAGAAGTAATTTAGTCACATTATGGAGGGCTGGGAATGCCAGGTGGAGGAGAATATATTTTATCCCAGAAGTAAAAGGGAACCAGAGACTATTTTGAGCAGGGAAGTGATATGTGGTCATGCCTGAGATTTACAAAGATTATTTTGGCAGCGATGGGGGAAGGATGGGTAGGAAAAGGGAAGAATGAAAACCTTAAGCACAAATCTGACCGAGTTAGCTCCTCCACTCAGAAAACTCCAATGGCTCCTGAGAACCTTTTGTTGTTCAGTTGTGTCTGACTCTCTGTGACCTGTTTTGGGTTTTTTTGGCAGAGATACTGGCGTGTTTTGCCATTTCCTTCTCCAGTTCATTCAACAGATGAGGAAATGAGGCAAACAGGGTGAAGTGACTTGATAACTAGGAAATGTCTGAGGCTGGATTTGAACTCAGATCTTCCCAACTCCAGGCCCAGAACTCTATCCACTGCACCACTTGTAACCTTTAAGATCAAATATAAACTCCACTATTTGGCATTGAAAGCTCTTTGCCACCCGACCTCATCCTACCTATCCAGCCTTTATACAGATGACACCTCTCTAAGTCTTACCAGCCTACTTGCTGCTTCTCCTAAGTGCTCCTGCCTCACCTGCTCTAGTGCCTTTGGGCTGACTGTCCTCTCTGGCAGGATTCTCTCCCTCCTTACTGCCTCCTCTTGGAAACCACAGTTTCCTTCAAGATTCAGTTCAAGTGCGTCCTTCTGATCAAGGCTTTTTCTGGCCCCTCCAAATGTAGTGCCATCCCCTTCAAGTTTACCTTTTATCTGCTTACCTGTGTTTTGTACATACTTATATTGTGTACACGTGGTTACCCTCACTAGAATGTAAGCTCCTTGAGGGCAGAAATTGTTTTGCTCTTGTTTTTATGTCCCCAGCCCCTAGCACGGGAGAGACAGAGAGATGGCACTTGATAAATGATTATTTGCTTAATCCAGAATGTAGCAGGGGATTTATTTTGGATGATCCAGCTAAAGCATAATTGCTTATTTGGTTTTTAGGCCACAGCTGTTGATATTTTATTTTGGAAAGTTGGACCAAACTGGGATAGAAGGGAAAAGATACATAAGAATCTGCAGAATAGACAGCCCACCCTAGACTATCTGAAATAAGCCTGGTTAATGGGGGAAAGAGGAAGAAAAGATCAAATGGAGAAATGAGGCTAATGGGGATACAGTAAATCCCATCAGTAATCAGAAATAATTATTGTGGCTCTCATTTTTCAGCCGTTTCTTCCCTTGTACTCCACAAAACCTTTACTGGGGTGTTTTACCTGTCCCTTTTTCGGCCTGAACACTGAGATGCTTGAAAAGCAACTCCCTTGTGGGAAAAGGCCAGCCAAGAGAGACAATTCACAGAATAGGTAATCAGCCTCAAAATAATGTGTAATTGGTTGTTTTTGCCTTTGGTTCTCCCTTTATACAGACCCTTCACCTATACATGACATGTCCTAGTGCTCTGAATACAGGCTGTTCCACTATCAATAAGTAAATATTTCTCAATCATCTGCCATATGTCAGTAATGTGCTAGGAACTAGAAACAAAAATGAAATAACCCCAGCCCTTATGGAGCTTATGTTTTGGGGGGAGGGGAAGGGGAGAACACTTACAAATACATGTACATTTAAATACAAACAAAGTAAAGACAATGTAATTTCAGGGTGAAGGATTTTGGGTTGTGAGGATCAGGAAAGGTTTTATATAAGAGATGAACATTGAGCTAAGCTTGAAAGGAAACTAGTGTTCACTAAAATCAGGTGTTTTGAAAGAAATATATATAGATATATAGTGAGAAATAACATTGCGGATAGGCTGCATAAAAACCTCAGTTTTTGTAGAAGGCAGGGTTAGTTTTTGTTTTGTTTTGTTTTGTTTTGTTTTTGGCAGGGCAGGGAGCATGACCTATATTTGGACAAATGTATTTCACCTATTTTCACATAAATTGGTGTCATAGTTTTATTCAAGTAGTGGGAGATGCAGAATAGTGGCAAGTATAGAAGCAGTGAGTTTATTCAATTAGTCAATAAACACTTATTAAGTGCTTGTGATAGTCAGGAAGATCTGAGTTTAAATTTAGCCTCAGATACATACTAGCTATATGACCCTGGGCAAATCACTTAACCCTGTTTGCCTCAATTTCCTCATCTGTAAAATGAGCTGGAGAAAGAAATGGCAAACCACTCCAATATCTTTGCCAAGAAAACTGCAAGTGCAGTCATGAAGAGTTGGACATAACTGAAACAACTGAACAAATATGTCAGGCAATGGGCTGAGTGCTCGAAAGAAAGAGAAAGTACAGAAACGTGACCTCAACCCCTGCTTCCCTCTGGCATCTGAACTAGGGGCATCCGTGAACTAGGATGCACCCATGAGGGGCATCCCCTCAATGAATCAAAACAAATGCAAACTGGTTTAATCTGTTCATGGACGGGGCAGACCAAGACTAGATTACAGATTCAAGATTAGAAACTTGGCAAATTGGTAATGAAAACTTTATGCAGGCTGATCAGTGAACTAAGAGAGATCAAGGTGAACAGTTTTCCCAGAAGTAGTTCTGAGCTCAGCACTGGCTACTCAACTCAGCTGCTGCCTGTGAAGAACTTTCTGGTCTTAGTAGGTGCTTTATAAATACTTGTTAAACTAAACTAGGTAGATCCATCAGTGAATATTATATGAGCTTTCCTTCCCCAAAGGGGAGACCCTCTGTCATATCCAGTCATTTGTGTTCTGTGTCAGTGACTGAGAAAAGACCTACAGCCTTCAGATGGTTTGGCAGACTGGGTGGGGCATCTATGTGCTGTCCAATCATAGCATGGTTGATCTCTGGAGTGGCAGGTTAAGGTTCATGCAAAGGTGTTTTTTCAATTGTTTATGTCAGAGTTGTCTTCCTTCAAGATCAAACCTCTCTAGATGGTGAGAGTTCCTGACTTCTGAAACTCTTTGCTCATTATCTACTCCCTTTTTATTTGATTGTTAGCTAAGACATCCACAATGAACACATATAAGATAAATTGATAGGTTCTATGTATAAACCCCAGGAAGAGCACTTGGACCAAACCAAGTACGTGTAGAAGAAAAGCATGGTGGAGACAACCTAATTTTGAAAGGAAAGAGGTGTCAATGTTCAGGATATCTGAAAGAAAGGAAATATACCAAGCAATTAGAAAAAATGCCAGATGATATTATTAACTTCTCTAAAAATGCAATCAAGAGGATATAAATAACAACTGGTCTGTATGCCTACTTTCTTATTTTGGTAAGCTCTTTATGAGGATGATCTACACATACATTAAGTGCATCTTTGATAAAAATATGAGAAAGGAACCTGACATTTTGGATATGGGCATAATATGACATATTGTTCAGAGAGTTGTTTTTTTACAGCAGACCATATCTCCCCAGTCACAAAGTTGACTCAAATGCATAGAGAAGACAAAATCTCACTCCTTAATGTTTGTTGGTTATAAAAAAAAAGCATTTCAATTTGTCAGAGTGAAATGTACTTTCAAAGGCTTCTCTGTATGTCTAATGTGAATCTTGAAATCAAACAAAATTCATTGATAGATCTACCCAGTTTAGTTCAACAAACATTTATTAAGTACCTATTAAGTGCTGGGGGATTCAAAGAGAAAAGTGAAAAACAGTCCCTGCTCTCCAGGACTTTATCAACTGGAGGAAGAGAAGGGGCCATAATATATGTAGATAAGTAAATACAAAATACCAAATAAGGCAGTTAGGTGGTGCAGTGGATAAATCACCAAACCTGGAATCAGGGAGTTCAAATCCGGCCTCAGACACTTACTAGCTGTGTGACCCTGGGCAAGTCACTTAATTCTGTTTGCCTCAGTTTCTTCATCTGTAAAATGAGTTGGAGAAGGAAATGGCATATCACTCCAATATCTCTGCCAAGAAAACCCTAAATGAATCTCAATGGGTCAGACATGACTGAAACAACTGAACAACAGCATATTATATAGCATTCATAGGGGCAGCTAGGTGGCACAGTGGATAGAGTGCTAGGCCTAGAGTCAGGAAGACCTGAGTTCAAATCTGACCTCAGACACCTACTAACTTAGGTGACCCTGGGCAAGTCACTTAACCCTATTTGCCCCTATTTTCCTCAACTGTAAAATGAGCTAGAGAGGAAATGGCAAAGCACTCAAATGTCCTTGCCAAGAAAACCCCAAATGGGGTCACAAAGAGTCAGACACAACTGAAAAATGACGACACAACAACAACAAAGACAAAATAGTTTCAAGAGGGAGAAAGCATTATCACCAAGAAAAAGGCAGAAAGGCTTTAAAGGAAGCGCCTTTGAGGAAGCTGGTAGTTCTAAGAGGCAGAGGTGAAGAGGGCATTCCTTCTGCAATGGTGGAGTAAGGGGAGGTACAGAGGCAGGGAGCCACTCGTTCAAAGGGACAGAGGCAGGATAAAGTTGTAAATCTGTGGTGCTTTCTTTTTTATTTACATGGGACTGGAAAGAAATGTAGATGTCAGGTAACGTGGGGCAGTAGAAAAAGCACTGGCCATGAAATCATAGAACCTGGGTTTGAAACAGGTCCCTTCCATTTACTACCCATGTGACGTTGGACCAGTCACTTAAGCTCTCTAGGACCCATTTTCCTCACGTGTAAAAGGAGGCTACGTAGTTCAGTCCTCATGCCTAGGTGGCTCAGTGGATAGAGCTCTGGGCTTGAAATCAGGGAGAAGACCGGAGGTCAAATTTGCCTCAGACACTTAATAGCTTAACATCTGTTTGCCTCAGTTTCCCAAATAAGGATAATAATAGCACCTACCTTCCAGGGTTGTTGTGAGGATCAAATGAGATAATTGTAAAATGCTTACCACAGCGCCTGGCACATAGGAGGCACTATATAAATATCATTGCAATGGTGATCCAAACCCTCTCGATTACAAATGAGAAAATTAAGACTTGGAAAGTAGCATGACCCTCTCAGGATCACTCACTGTAAATATCAAAGCTGGGATTCCAACCCAGCTTCCAAAGGAGTCCTTTTTCAATTACAGACTTTTAAAAAGTTTTCTAGGTAGGATTTGGGATGTGTTTCTCAAATGTTACTCAGTGGCATTTATATGTCATACCTACCAGTTTCCTTACTGTGTTAATTTCCCATCCTTATGTCTCCTGAAGGATTTTACTATCTCCTTCCCAATCCCCCAAGTGCTGCCATTAGACCAACATTGCAGTCTCCCAGACTTGAACTTGGTGTTGTCTTTCGTACTTTTGGTCCCAAAGTCAATCCGATCAATTCAGTTCCCTTGTTAAGGGCCCACTAGGTACAGATTACTACATTAGGTACTCAGGAGGCAGAAATGGAAAGCAAACCATGGCCCTGTCCATTCCATCAGTATATCTGTGGAAACTCCAGTTCCCATTGATGTCTCCATTTTCTAGCTCCTTTTATAATTATTGTCAATGTCGCCCAGCTATTCCGTAAAAAAATAAGAGAAATAAGGAAAATCAATGACAAGAATATGGATATTTGGGTGGGAGTTGAGGTGATAGTGCAGTGGATAGGATACCAAGCCTGGAGTTAGAAAGACTCATCCTTCTGAGTTCAAATCTGGCTTCAGACATTTATTAGCTGTATGACCCTGAACAAGCCACTTAAGCCTGTTTGCCTCAGTGTCCTCATCTGTAAAATGAGCTGGAGAAGGAAATGGCAAACCACTCCAGTTTCTTTGCCAAGAAGACCCCAAAATGGATCGTGAAGAGTCCTACATGACTGAAATGACTAAACGACAACAAATTGAATTACAGCCTACTGTGTTTCATTTCTATAATTGTTCTTAAGTCGAATGCCCCCTTCCCAATACCTTCTTCTCTGCTCTCATAGTCATTGCTCTGATTCGGGGTCTTATCACCTCTTGTCCCGACCATTATAATAATGACTTATTGGTCTCTCTACTTCCAGTCTTTTCCCTAATTGAATCACCACACTATTTCCAAAAGCATTTTCCTAAAGCACAGTTCTAATAATGTTACTGCTGTTTTCAAGAAGCTTCAATGGCTCCCTATTATCTCTAGGGAGGAAAACAACAAAAACAAATACATTCAATTCCTCAGCTTCATAACCTGGCTCTAGCCTATCTTTTCCAGGCTTATTTCACACTCCCGCCCTTCATACAGTCCGCAACCTCACCCAGCCCATTTTCTGTTCCGTGAGATCAGCATTCTGCCTCCTATCTGTCTGCTTTTGCACCAGTGTTCCTTACACCTAGGAAGCGCTCCCTCCTTAGCTCTGCTTCTTCTAATCCTCAGCTTCTACGAGAAGATACTTTCTCTGGCTTCTTTGCAGAGGTGGAGGGCCATGGGTGTGGAAAGCTGCGTGTGATGCGTGAGTGTGAGTGCGTGTGGGGGGGGTATGTGTGTGTGGGTTAGTTTGGTGGTACTTTATTAAGAGAACTTTTTAAAAAATCCTGTTCAAAACTATTATAAGGAATGATGGTTCTCTGGAGAGACTGGGGGAAGGGATAACAGCAGCAACAACAGCGATAACAACAACTAGCATTTATTTAGCACTTTAGTGTCTGCAAATTGCTTTACATCTCATTTGATTCTCTTAATAACTCCGTGAAGTAGGTGCTATTATCATCCCTATTTTAGAGATAAGGAAACTGAGGCTCAGAGAGAGAGAGGTTAAGTGACTTACCCAGGGTCACACAGTATCTGATGTAGGATTTGAACTCAGGTCTTCCCATTCCAAGTGTATCTACTATGCTACCGAGTTGCCAAGGATACAGTAGGAACTCTAGGTGACATAAAAACAACAACAAAAGTAAATTAACAATTACTTTTTTAAAAAGAATCTTTAGCCAGATCTCGAAGATGGAAGGTTTACCTTCCTGCTAAATTGGGGTATGAGCTGCACCAATTGAGGTAGTTCTCTGCACTCTTTCCCCAGCTCTGCAGACCACCCCACCTTCAATTACTAGCCACACTGGCCTACCTGAAGTGGCCCTAACTAGACATTTCAATCTCCTGCCTCCAAGCCTTTGCACAGACTGTTCCCAATACTTAGAATGTACACTCTCTCTTAAAAACCTTTGTTTCTTTAAAGGCTCAGTTCAGGTGCTGCCTACTGTGGGATTCCCATAGATGGAAGTGTTCTTTTAACTCTAAATCTGTTATGAACCTTGAATTATCTGAAATATAATTATTATTTTTATATGTTGCATTCCCTGGTAGTAGACTAAGGACCTTGAAGGCAAAAATCAGTGATATTCTTGCCCTTCTTTGTTAATAGGTCCAAACAAACCCAGGACCAGGCGAAAACAAGGGTGAGCTTTCCTCTAAGCACGGCCACACGGGAGCCGACACCCCTCTCCAAGACTCCGACCAAACTCTAGTCTCTGCCCAAAGGACCACAGAACAAAGAAGTCGGAGAAGTCAAACCGGGAGGTCAAAGCACAACCCCCCAGAGCCTCTTGACCTGAGAGTGGGCGCTTTGCCATCCAGAAGCTCCTGTAGGGCTCCCTGGACTGGCTCTTGTTCATCCCACTCTAGCAGCACATCAGCAACTTCCCAGTGGGGTAGACCCTCTCTCCATCTGGAATCGACTGCCAGAATCAAAACACGCCAGCAAGGAAACAGTTTTCAGAAGCCTGGGGCAGAGACTAATGTTGATACAGGGTTCACAGTAATCGATTCAGAACAGAGGCAATCTTCTCTGAGAACATTTCCAAGGGATTTGCAAAGCAGCCTGCCTGCATCGTGGACGCCAAACTCTTTGTTAGCCATAACTGGCTCAAGAAATAAGCCCTCCGAGGAGACAGTCCACCCCTTGCCATCTACTGGCCAAAGGGACAGTGGTGCAGGGCGGATAACCCCAGCATTTCACTTGCCACAAATACCCCATGGAAATGACAAAGAAGAATTCTTTATATGATGGGAAACAAATGCCAGTTGCAGACACTGAATCAAATCCATTGTTCCGGAGACTGAGCCCAAACTAGCCAGCTTCTCTTGAACATCTGGAGATGTCTGGGTATCCCTCAAGCCTACACCTATGTGTCTTTAATTAAAAAAAAAAAAAAACCTGTTCCAAAGAAACAATGGACTGGTTTGGATGTTTAACTTCCTTTGTAAGAGATTATAGCCAAAAGCACAAGGAAAAAGGATAACCACTGTTTTTCCCCAGGATGTGTACACACAATTTGAATCAGTTGTTTAGTGAGTCTCAGGTCATTTGTGTTGTGTGCTTATGAACAGAATATATTATGCAACTCATTAGTGTTTTAAATTTTGCTTTAGTATTCATTGGAGCTGCCTAGCTTCTTCCAGAACCACATTAAATATTTATTCTTTACCACTTGCTAATCTCATAACTTGTATTGGTTCCTATATACTTCTGATATCCTTTGGGCATTCTGGATTTGTTTGTATATTTGATCCATTAAAATACCTAGTGCATTGAAAATTTCAAACTTCTTCCTCCCCTCTCCTTCCAATCTAATAATCAGATCATGATAAACTTATAAAAGTCACTTAGAGTGTCCAAATGATGGTGTTTTGTTTTTGGTTTTTTTTTATTTTTTATTTTTTTTTTTTGGTTAGGGAATGGGGTTAAGTGACTTGCCCAGGGTCACACAGCTAGTAAGTATTGTGTCTGAGGCCGGGTTTGAACTCAGGTCCTCCTGAATCCAGAGCTGGGCTCTATCCACTGAGCCATCTAGCTGCCCTCAAATGGTGGTGTTGTTCAGTCATTTTTCAGTCATGTTCAACTCTTCATGACCCCAGTTGGGTCATTTTTGGCAGAGATACTGGAGTGGTTTGCCATTTCCTTCTCTGGCTCATTTTACAGATAAGGAACTGAGGCAAAGAGGATTAAGTGACTTACCCAGGATCACACAGCTAGTAAGTGTCTGAGGCCAGATTTGAACTCAGGAATATGAGTCTTCCTGAATGCTAGGCCCAGCAACTCTATCCAGTGCACCACCTGGCTGCTCCTAGAGTACCCAAATGGGTCTGCACAAAGCCTTGCTTTTGCAAAGACAACAATGGTGCCTGCCAAGAGCCGCTCAAATTCATATATGTTGCTTATTTAAGAGATCAAAGACCAACACTAGAATGTAAATTTGTTGCTTTCCTAATCAGCACTGTTCTGGCCTGCTCTAGAGACGCAAATTGTACTTGTTATTAATCAGAAGAATATCTCTTTTTTTTTTTGTTTTCCTTTCTGTAATTCATGGATATAGGGAATTTTCAGGGAGCCAGGCAACAAGTACATAATAAGCTTCTGTTGTATGTTAGGTATTGTGGCATTGAGGAAATAAAAAAAATGAAATATCCCTGTCCTCAGGGGGTTTCTATCCCAGTGGGAGAGACATTCCATATTTATATATAAGTATATTCAAAATAAATGCAAGGTATTTGGGGAGGACACTAGTATCTGAGGGATCAGCTCATGTAGAAAGTAGCACTTGAACTACATTTTGAAAGATACAAGGGGTGGGGGGGCAGAACCAAGATGGCAGAGTGAAAGCAGTGACTTGCTTGAGCTCTTCCCCAAACCCCTCCAAATACCTGTAAAAAATGGCTCTAAACAAATTCTAAAGCAGCAGAACCCACAAAAAGGCAAAGTGAAACAAATTTCCAGCCCAAGACAACCTGGATGGTCGACTGGAAAAATACAAAAGGGAATTAAAAAGAGATGAGGAGGGAAAGAATTATAGGAATAGAGAGATGGAAGAAACTCCATTTATCCATGCACTTAGGCAACCATTATGCAACTTTTAATCTTAGAGAGCTGCCTTGGACACTGAGTGTATAAGTGACTTGCCCAAAGTAACACAGTCTGGATATGTCAAAGGCAGGACCTAACCCAGGCTGTCCTGACTCTAGCTGGCTCCCTATCCACGATATCGTGTGCTTTTCAGTGACTGCTTTGGACTCTTCAGCATGGGGCTGCTGATTTAGTTAGCTTAGGTTAATGGATTGAATTTTATGGCTATCTTAGGTCCTCTCATTTTATTGTAATATGACGTAAGTTTTATGGCCAGTGAAACCTCAAAACATGATGGTTTTCCCAACATGGCACATCTCTTCTATCAAAGACTGGGAAAAACAAAACAAAACAAAACAAAAACCAGCTTTAAGTCTGCAAACAAACTGATCAGCCTATAAAATGTTTGTTATTTCTTCCTCCACTTGCCACGCTACAAAGCATTTGTAATGAGTATTCTCATCCTGAAGATTCATGATACCAATGACAGGAATTGGGAATGAACCTGTGATTTCCTTGGCATAGGGTGAGGAAGCTCTCTCACCAACTCAGGTTGGCACTTGCTCTGCATTTGATTGCTGCCTAGAAAACATTGCCAGGTTAAGTGACATGCCTGTATGGACCAGAGATGGCACCTGCACCTAGGTCTGCCTGTCTTCAAAGCCAGCTCCGTATCTACTGCTAATGTGTGGATTGCAAAAGCGATTTATTGTTTTTCCATATCCTGATTCCTTTCAGGCCCAACAGAAGAACATTCTGGAGCTCTACCGTCTGTAGTTCTATGCTAATTTACATGGTTGTTAGCTTTCATGGGTTTTAGAAATCAGGATACAAAAAGACTTTGCCCAGCATATAATCATCAGTCAAACTGGATTTTATAGGGAACTTTCCACATAAGGAAAATTCTGGGTGTGACACAGTAACTGTGAATAAAGTCAAATGCTATGCCACCCAAAAGGATGTTATTTACAGAGGAGAAATTAGAATGGCAAAGGGAATTCTTCCAAGGACTTCAGAACCCCAATATTTGCCCTCAGTAGGATAAAAACTGGGGGAAATATGATATAACCAAAAGAGCAGCCTGGGAATCAGGAAACCAGAGTTTAAATTTCTCCTCTGCCACTGACCAGTTGGGAGGTCAAGGACAAGCTCTCTGGGCATCAGTTTCCTCAATTCTAAATTAAGATGGTTGGACTAGTTGATCATAAAAGCTTCTTCTAGCTCTAATATTCTATGATCTATTCAATTAGTGCCCAGTCCTACTTTGCTCAGCTGCCCAAGTGATCTTCACTCCTAATCAGTCAAATCCAGAGGTTCCCTGTTACTTCCTGGATCAAATATTAAATCTTTTTAAAGCCCTTCATAAACTGCCCCAATAGCTAGGTGGTGCAGTGGATACAGCACATGGCCCGGAGACCTGAGTTCAAATCCAGCCTCAGATACTTGCTGGCTATATGACCCTGGGCAAGTCACTTAACCCTATTTGCCTCAGTTTCCTCATCTGTAAAATGAGTTGGAGAAAGAAATGGCAAACCACTCCAGTATCTTTGCCAAGAAAACTGCAGTGCAGTCATGAAGAGTCAGACAGGACTGAAACTGAACATAACAACAACAAACAGGCCCTTTCCTACCTGTCCGGTCTTCTTATGCTTTTCTCCCCTTTTTACATACTTTTATATCCAGCTACTCTAGCCTCCTTACTGTTTGTCACACAAAACACTCTCTTTCCCAATTCCTTACCTCTTCACTGGCTATCCTCCATGCCTAGACTGCCCTTCCTCCCCATCTCCACCTCCTGACTTTCCTGACTTTCTTCAAGATTCAGGTCAACTTTAACCTTCTTCAAGAGACTTTTTTGTCCCACTCCCCACCTCATCCCCCCAGTGCTAGTGCTTTCCTTGTGAGATTACCTACATTTTACTCTGTATATATTTTGTTGTTCCGGCCACACGTACAGAATGCTTACCTGTTGTTCTGGCCACACGTACAGAATGCTTACCTGTTGTTCCGGCCACACGTACAGAATGCTTACGTGTTGTTCCGGCCACACGTACAGAATGCTTACCTGTTGTTCCGGCCACACGTACAGAATGCTTACGTGTTGTTCCCCTCACTAGAATGTCAGCTCCTTGAGGGCAGGGACTGTTTTTGCCTTTCTTTATATTGCCAGCACTTAGCACAGTGCTTGGCAAGTTATAGGACTTAATAAATGTGTATTGACTTGCTTGCTGCTTAATTCTTAGTTTATTGAAAACTTATTGCATCAAAATTTTACCTGATTACTAAGTGAGATTTGGAGAAATGGGAAGAATTTTATTTTATTTATATTTCCTTAGAAAAAAGGTTAAAATAATGAAATGGTTTCATAAATAAAATCACTAACACACCATTAAAAACTTAGCAAGATGAAGTTTAAAGATTCTGGTACTTGAATAGCATGGTACTTGAATAACAACATAAATGAAACACTGAGAAATGTAAATGAGTTCATTAAAATACTAACTTGTTTATCAGCAACTATATGTATCATATTTATCTCTTTTCCCTCAATAAGAATAAAACAGTTCTTTCAAAAGCAAGCTTTAAGTAAATTCAATATCAGAAAGAAAAGAAGGATCAACAAGGTGTCTATTACAGTTATTTCTGTATATAATCACTCTATTCCCTCCCAATGTCAAAATTACATCCTTCCTTAAAACATTTGATACAATGACCCTTCAGACAACGTATCCTACTAGGGTATTCTATCCTAGCAGTCGCGTCTATTTGAGAAGAGTAGGGAAGTAAATTTCATTCTCTGTTCTTCAGGCCCATCATTATCTACCATTTGTTTTAAATCCATATAATTAAGCACAGAAAGTAGAGGTTAACAGCTCACCTAGCACAATTTTAGCTATGCTAGGGACAAACTTTTCTCTACTGATTTTCAACCTTTTTAAATGTGAGGATTCCTTTCTTAACACAAAAAAGTATTGGTTGCCCACAAGAAATAGAGCTATTAAAATCCAAAGATTGAGGAAATGTACAAAAACAGCATGCTGCTATGAATTTTGTAACCCATTACAACTTGCAATAACACCATAGCGCCCCCAGGTGGCTATCGCTGGGACCAACTAAATTTTACGTTCTGCAAGGCTTTCTATCTCTCACCTCTGTAGTTACTATGACTTATTCTTACCATGTGTTTAAAAATATCATTCTCCTTCTCAAGATATTGTAGCTACAAATACTGTCCTTCCTCACACTGAAAAATGCAAATGGATCTATATTCCTTGATATAGAATATACACGTGTCAATGCACATTTAAATATAGCTCTATTTAAAAAAAAAAACACTTTTCTTGTTATCTTTTATTTTTACCTTGCCTAATTTTCCTTCTGTATCCCCCAATGTTCCTTCCCAGAGATTTTCCTATAACTAAGAATATTTTCAAAAGAAAAGATGAAGAGAATACATTTAAAAAACCCCAAAATATGAGCA